TCACAACAGGCAAACAAACGTAGTTTCAACTACAGCAGAAATGAAAGGTTCGAAGAATAACCTCGCTTGCAGAAATGCTATTTAGGGTTCATAGTCTCGAACACGAATCTAGCAACGCGCCATTTGATAGGCCTACAGAGCTAGTAGCCTGTCGACCAGTCAGCGCGCGACTCCTGATCCTTCCTAACTCATAACACTAATAAAAGAGGCTTGAGGGTCTTACGCGAATTGGAAATAACTCGGTCGGTGGTGCCGTCTTGTCCCGACCACGCGATCAATAGCAGACTGCAAAAATCGAAATGACTGGCGACGATTGAGTTACACGCATTCTCTCCAAGAATTGTCGACTCATTACAAGTCACCCTACCCAAGTATGGAGGAATACCACACCCAAATTTTCCGACTACAGCGAACAGTAAAGGCAGGAGCATATTAGTCTAACGTCTTAGCAGCCTTATACTGCATAGCAATAGGCCACGGCAGAGTATAATGCCTAGGTTACTGTTACCTAGCAGTATATAGGTACCTGGGAGTTAGTCAGCTGTCACGGGCTGCTTCCTGGGGGTGGAGGCCTGGTCGAGGACCGGGCCGCGGGGACACTAAAAAGCCCCGAAATCATCTCAAGATAACCTCAAGATAGGTCACTCGTAGAAACCCTAAACACTAGCATGATTGTCCATGGCATTATATGTATTTTGTATTCATCAGCTCTAATTACGGTGTTTGAATACAACTGTTTAATACTGAATATATGTATTTAGTACTGAACATATGTATTTAGTACTAAGATAGCTGAATGTATGCGGTATATTAATACTGTAGCAAATTTGTTTAGTAAAATTATTGCATGTATGTAAGAACCTAGAATGAACATAGGTCTAGTGTGTAGAACTTATTTCTGAGCACATGCCTAGTATCCAAAATGTATGCAGTGATTTTCAAAAGTTGAGAAACTCTTTGTGTTCAATTTTGAATTTAGTGTACCCGGATTTTGCCTGGAGAGGGTCCCCGGAGTTGTTCTACTCCCTGAGCCCAGCCTGGGGCCCGGCTTGACTTGTGATAACTTGGTCCAACAGGCTGTTGCTTACAGCGACCCATAGGACCACATATTCACTACAGCCTGGTTGATCAGGCACTTCTTGTAAAAACTTATCTAATTGGTTCTTGAAGAAGTCCACATTTGTTCTGGCAATATTTCTAATGCTTGCTGGGAGGACATTGTATTGCAATCCTACCTACTCTCACTTTCCATACAACTGCCTATTGTCCTCCAGACTTACTTCTAATGTAAGAACAATTTAGATAGTTCACAAGAAAATAACAAATTTCATTCAAGGACAGCCGGTGAGCCACATGCAATAGGAGGAAAAAAATGCTCAGCACTACCCGTTTCCAATCGATCATAAGGGGTGATCCATGATGCTGTTTCGATCCCCATTCTGCCAACCACCTTTTCTGCCTATAAAAGGTACATTGGGTTGAGAGTACATAACAATGGTGTTTGAGCATTACATTCTTGCAAAGCCACATAGCATTTTGGGCAGGTCCTTAATGTAACTAATAAAATTAAAAGTATTAAACAGGATGGGGTTCTAAAAGTTGTTCTACCCCCTCAGCCTGGCCCAGGGCCAGCTTGACTCGTGAGAGCTTGGTCCAAACAGGCTGTTGCTTGGAGCGGCCCGCAGGCCCACACATCCACCACACCTCGGTTGGTCTGGCACTTCTTGAAGGAAACTATCTTCAGTAGTTTTATCTTGAAGATGTCCATGTTTGTTCTGGTAATATTTCTTATACTTGCTGGGAGGATGTTGAACAACTGTGGACCTCTGATGTGTATACAGTGTTCTTTGATTGTGTCTATGGCACCTCCGTTCTTCACTGGTTCTATTCTGCATTTTCTTCCATGTCATTCACTCCAGTATGTTGTTATTTTACTGTGTACATTTGGGACCTGGCTCTCCAGTATACTAATAGGTACACTGTAGCAGAATTTGAGTTCGACATAATAACTACAATATAAAGTAATAGCATTGATTATACTGATGAAACCTACCTTACAATTTTTTTTTGCGAGACTGATAGCTTAAGTCAATATAGTATTAGGTTAAGATGTGAGGCCTACTCATTATGACCTTTACTTAAATCAATGTTATTAATTTCACCCTAAGATATCACACTATGGTATCGAAGAATGTATTACCATCTTGCTACATCTTTGACTTCAAGTACAGTATCATCACTGTCTTCAATAGTTCATAATGTACTTTAAGCCAAAGTAACCTATATCCATACTTTTTACAGGAATCCACTGTACTATTGCAGGGGGTCCCAAACTGAGGTCAGTGACAAGATGAAAGACAGCAATATTTTTTAGCATAATTTACTTATGTGAAGCAGGATTTTTAATACTCAAGTACTGAAAATCACGTACAGGCATCTGACACTCAAAAAAAAAAAAAAAATAAAGTTTCCATGACAACTTTTGCAAGAACCACCAAGCTCAGCCATCCAAAGAGATACGATATATATATATATATATACCCGATTGGCTGATATTATTTAGTGCATTTTTCTATATACATAATGGTAAATTAGTTTATTTTGGCTTCTGGTGAGGCTACAGTATTGTTTGTGTATTTTTGGTGTTTTTACAGAATTTACATGGTTTGGAATTTATAAATTTTAAAAGAAAAATGCCTTATTTATTTAAACATCTAACTAGATAAGGTACACGACAGCGCCTGGGTCGACCCCAAAACACTGTAGCATTTGTGCATTGGGAGGTCCACCAAAATGTCAAATATATTCTTGTTTTAGTAACTTCATCCAGTGTCTGCTGGAAAGCACAAGTTAAGCAGGCAAAGAGAGGCTCATTTAATTGTCACTATGCCTCCACTATACCTAGGTTGTACCTGGAGTGGGGGTTCTGCAAGTTTTCCCTACTCCCTATGCCCAGCATGGGGCCAAACTTGACTTGTGTGAACTGATTACTCCACATACATCATCCAAGAACTACACAAGAACTACATCCAAGAACGTTCTCCTGTGTATCCAGATTAACAGATAGTGTTATATGGTATCCAAGCAATTTATTCTGGAACATTTAATTTCATAATATTGTACAGTATACACAGACAATTGGTATAGAGTACAGTACTTTATTTTTATTATTCTACTTTATTAATAAATATTAATAAAATATAAGAAAATGGAGGCCTTTACAAATACAAGTACCTGTACTGTAGTGGCAGTTAAAAGATACCAGGGAACTTCAAGAGGACCTTGGGTATAATTAGCTTTAGGTTTGGACAAACAGATGTCAAATCCAATTAAATACAAGCTATACATACAAATTGGTAAGCTTGATAGGGCAAAAATGGTAGGCTATTAAATATTAACTTAAAAATGAAGATATATACTAACTTACTGATAATTCAAATCACAAAAGGGATCTGGCAATAAAAAAAACCCCTAGGTAATACAATAACCTACATGGTTTTTACCTTGTGTAAAGAACTGTATATTATTTACAAATAAGTAATGGTAATGTCTTCTCACACACATAACGTAGGATAAAAACCCACACTTAGGTATTTGTGAACTTTATGTAAAGAATTACACCAAGACTTTTCCACTCTCCTAAGTGCTTTAAGGTCTGATAATGTAGTTAGGACGGAATGCATACCTCAGCATTGGTCTGACATATGTAGTATACAAGGGTTCTGAATGATTCCTTTCACAAGGAATATTTTGGTGTAAATCTTTACATAAATTTCACAAGCACTTAAGTGTGGGTTTTTATCCTATATCTACAAATGTTAGCAAGAGGTATACTGTACTAATGTTCCCTACAACTTAACTGTTCTCTAGTGAAACCTCACTTTAATGCTGTGCAATCTAGTCACCATACAATGGCTACTTAAGACCTTCTGTATCCAAGACATACAAAGGATGAAGAACTTAACTCGGCATAAAATCTCTAACAAAGACAAATTAAGAGTAATGCCAATATACTCAGTTTTATGTTATGGGTCAAGTGTAGGTATGAAAAACTTTACAAATATATAAATGATTTATAGTGTTGGAAATGTTCAAACAACAAAAGTCAATAGTGTACATTCAAATTGAAAAAAAACACACCATACAGTATTTAGGTTAGAGTGAGCAGACTAGGTAAACACTGTCTTGAGAATAGAGCAGTAGACAAGTGAAACTCTTGTGACAGACAAATATATGAGAAAGCTTTAGAGGTAATTTTGACAGATGGAGAGCCTACAGATCACTCTATACAATAGATGGTTCACACAGCCTAAGAACCTTTAGACCAAACCTAATCCATCATACATAGTGTCAGGAATGTGAAGCACACTGTAATGTGGGAGTTACAGTTACAAGATACAGTCAATAAACTCAGTTCCAGAACTCACCAGTGTGTGTGTGTGTGTATAAAGAGCTTACAAAGTAACCAATACAAATATACCAAGTGTAAACAGGACCCAACATGACCACAGGAGCAGGCATCTTATTTTTTTTTTAGATATATACAAGAGTTGTTACATTTTTGTACATATGGCGATTCTTGTACTTTAATGGCATTCCTTCTCTTATGTCAGCTATTACCCCTTAACTACACACACAACACAACATTCATTTGCTTAGCAAACTGCTGTGCAAGGGAACTCCACTCCAGAAATTAAAATAAATAAATAAATTCGAATCATATAATAACTCCATTGTCACAATACAAAACCTTTCAAGAATGACTGAGGCAGAATACTCATCACAAAAGTACAAACACGTCGAGCAAATGTTCACCATGTCAATAGTGCCCATCAAGACCCATCTGGCTTGAACCTCCCCCCTTCCCCAGGACATCAATAAAGGCCCCTTTAACCCCCCCTTTTATCCCATCAATACGTCAGACAGACACGAGAGGAGTTGTGGCCATATTTCACCATTACCAAGTAGTAGAGTGGGTTATTATGGTGGGCAGGACTTACCTTATCAGTGGGTATGTTCCTGGAGCCCATGGTTCCTGACGGAGGTGCAGGAGAGAGAGAAGAGGGGGAAGGGAAGATGCCCTAATCCAGGTGGGCTACACACTTTGTTTACACTCACTTGTCACCTCAACACACACACACACACGCCACTAATCACACTTTATCTCGCCGCGCCCTGCTGCACCGCGACTCGCTACCGAGGCTTCAAATAACGCGTGGGAGTGACACAGGCGCTCCATATAATGTACGCGGGAGGCAAGGAGAGCCATGAACGTCAGGAGGAGCGGGGAGCCGGACACATCCTCCTGCCACCACTAACAAAGCTACACAAGACTCAAGATGGCCGTCAGACCTGCGCACACCAGACTTCTTCAGCCCCCCTCTAGCCTCCTCCTCTTCTTCCCACCCACTCACTCTTCTCTACTCTAACTAATTCTCCTCTTTTACTTTTGACTAGTTAGAATGTGCGTTATAAGGTGATATAGGAATAATTACAGGAAGAGATCTGTCGCAGCGATTAACCCCTTTCCTCTTATATTATATCTATCCCTCACTGTGTTGTTTTTACATGAAATATGCTATTGGTATTTTTATAGTAAGTAATAATGGATTATTTTGGATTTATATGATACATTAGTTAAACAAAATTAATGTATGTATTATAGTTAAAAGTCATGAAGGGCGTAACACACAAGAGTTTTAGCTCATCAGTTTGTTGTAGACATCTTCACACTATTCACTGCAATCTATTTTTTGAATTTAATTGTTACCTTATACTAGTATTTAAAACATATTAGTTGCCATAATTTTATAATATAACTGTGGCAATTATATTTTGCTAATGTCTCTATAATATATAAATTTTTCTTTTCCTGAAGAGATGCCTACGCCCAGATTATAAGGAAAGGTTTGTTTATATTGAGAAGCCACCCTGTACCAGCCCTAGTCTCGTGTTATATTCTTCCTTTTGCTCGTCACCGGCATCATATATATAATGTAAGGCCGCAGCTTGAACTCATTGTAGGGAAGGAAGCGTTCATGAGCATTATACCAGTGTGGCGTATAGTGGTGTGTTGTAGTGTAGTGTAGTGTGGGGGAGGCGGTTCTCCTCTGGTTACACCCACCACTGCCTCTCACTTATCACGCGACCTGGATATGTAATAATCCTTAATTATATTACAGTTGACTGGTGCTTTTGAGAATAGACGAACTATTCCTTGAGAGAACTCTAGATTTTTTTTGTATAAATTTGTTTAATCTTGTAATGTGAGTGATGCTCATTGATACACAAGCTTAATTAATATTCACAGTCATCTTAATACCTCCTTCACAGGCAATACAAAATGTCCAAGAGGAAATAAGCCCTTTTATGACGTTTGATAAGGTCAGCTTTAGTTAAAGTAAGGAAGGTAAACCATGATTCTGTAGTAAACATTGTCTTGCAACTTGTAGCAGAAAATATGCATTTCTGTATCTAATACCATAGGCATTCTTTTTGACAAGGAATTTGATGCTATGATTTGATTAAATTGAAAGGTAGTTGCAGCAGGTGTAAGTGAAGCACATCTTAATAAGAGAAGTAAATAGGAGAATGGTGAAAACTTTAAGTGGTGGTAAGGTTTGTAAAGGATAGTTATATGGTCAGGAATGGATAGAAGTTATATGGGTGATAAGAAGGTTGTAGCTTTGTTCATATCAGAGTATGTGATCGGATATAAATATTGTAGTCTGAGAATAGGTTGGATTGATTGTAAGATAGGTACAGAGTAATATGTATTTAATAATAATCCATTTTGTCTCCCTCCCTAAACCCACCTACCCAAACCAAATCCAACCCACCCTACCTAACCTAACATAACCTATCTAACCTACCTTCCTTCCTTTCCCTCCTCTTTTTCACCGCCCTTCTCCATGTTTCTCACCCCCCCCCCTCTCCCTGCCCTTCTCCATGTTTCTCATCCCCCCTCTCGCTCTTTTTCATGTTTCTCATCCCCCTTCTCTCGCTCTTTTTCATGTTTCTCGCCTGCCCCTGCCCTTCTCCGTGTTTCTTATCCCCCTCTCCTGCCCTTCTCCATGTTTCTCATCCCCCTTTCTCGCCCTTCTCCATGTTTCTCACTGCTTTTTCTTCCAACCTTATCCACTTTTCTCAACCCCCCCTTCTCCACCGTTCTCACTCCTTGTCCATCTTTCTCATCTGCTTGCACCTTTCTCACCCACTTCACCTTTCTAACCCCCCTCCCTTGGCATCCCCCCCTCACATATGCTCTCTCTCTCTTTCTCTCATTATGTGTAGAATATGCATTAGTATATTCTTCATATATACAGTATATTAATATTTTGCAGGATGTGATCTGGTTTTTTAAATGCATCAAGTGAGAGAAGATCAGTCATGAATTCCTTCAAAAGTTTCATGAATAAGGTATGTAAAATGAATAGTGTTGGGTATACTCACTCTTAACATACATTAAAAGTCTCATTACTACAGTTGGGTAGCTTCCCGACTCAAAATCGGGAATGCTGAGTGGAACAGAAATGGTTAGGCATTTTTCCTTTCAGCTTAATGCCTCTGTTCACCTAGCATTAAATAGGTATCTGGGAGTTAGTCACCTGTTGTGGAGTTGCATCTTGGGGAGGGACAGTAGTTCGACCTTGGGGGGGGGGGACTTTGATACCAGCCTAACATACATACATACATACATGCACAGGCTGCTTGTCACCCAACAAAATGAATTATAGTTGTAGATTTCAGAGGGATTAGTTATGGAAGTGCATTTTGTGCTTTGGAAGTGGGGTTGGGGTGGGGATCCATATTGTTTAGAGAATAGCTTTAAATTAATATTGCCACTTTTGTGTTGTGTAAAGTACATATAATTTACAAACAGGGAGAATGACTCTTTCATGGAATTGATTGAATAATTTATTTTGCCATGGGGTGGGGCAGGGGACAGGAAGTCTACATATATATATATATATATACTGTTATACTTTAGACTTGTATCGAGGATCCCCCAAGGGTCTAAGTACTGATCCCCCGCAGGATACAACCCTACAAATGTTGCCTAACTCTTGGGTACCTATTTACTGCTAGGTGATCACAGGCATTTAGGTGAAAGGAAATCTGCCTAACCATTTCTGTCCTGCCTGGGAATTGATGTCGGGTTGTACACGAAACCATTCTAAACCATAGCTCACCAGAAACTAGATTATAATAAATGTGACATAATTTTTACGTTACAAAAAGGTTTCCAGTGAGTAGCCGTCTACACACAAACTTGCTTTTCAGCTTGAGACAGCAAAATTCTCTGGGACATAAGTACTGTACAGTACTATAAATATCAAAACAGTTAACAATGCATGAAAACCGTAATCAGTGCGTAAAAACAGTAGACAATGTATGTTTGTGTGTATACATACTGTATGTATATATTTATGTACTGTATATAAATACTGTATGTACTGTGTATATATTTGCCTAAGTATAATAATTATAGTTAAAGGATGTTCTTTCTTCGCCACAGTATTTATCTTTGTCATATGATGTTTTGAAACTTTTAATTTATTCGATCAGTCTACTACTGTACTTTCATTTCTTTCAAGATCATCATGTGAATTGAAAATTTATTATACAGGTAAAGAGTTTATCTGAAAGGGTTAGTCATTTCAAACTTGTTCAGAATTGAATGTGAAAGTTAATTTGAAATTTCAGGTTGGGGAACGGGTGCGTGAAGCGGGTCCCCAACAGACAGGGCAACATGCTGGCAATGGTGAGAGACTCGAGGGAGATCCTGGAGAAGCAGTGGAAGGCTTTTTATGTCCAACATGTTATATGAGCTTCTCAACTCCTGAACTTCTCCAAGATCATTATGAGGCAGATCACATCGAACCATCAGCCAACTATTTGTGTCCAGTTTGCAAGGCTAGACTCAACTCTCCACAGGAACTAGAAAAACATTACAGTACTATTCATGGGATGAAAGGTATTCATATACAGCTTGTCACAGAATGAATAGGGTGTTTAACAGATATAAAATACTGCACAGTAATTTTATAAATTAGCATTTATACATTTATGTTTTTATACACAAAACACTTGGTAGCATGTGAAGTGTTTTTGAATATACCGGTAGTTTACAACCTAAATTCTCTGTACATCTGCTTATATTTATAGCTTGTGTTCAGAACCAAACTTGATATTTGTTTTACTCAGTAACTAGTTATTACATAGCCCAATTTTGCCACTTAAGATTCTCATGTAACTGACCCTATTTTTTATTTCATGCTCTTTTGTAACAATTTTACACATTTACTGAGACTGACACAATTTGCTTACTGTATTCTGCCAAAACACACTTGTGTTGGTCTTCACTAAATTTTCTCAAAGATGTGCTTTTGAAAGATGTTTGTGCCATTAAATGCGTATCAACAAATGATATTAAGTACAGTAATTTCAATTGTTATTAGATACAAGTGGCCACAGCCTTGAAGCTTTGCGGGAGGAATTGACAGAATTATCTACCAACTTGCGTGAGGAACGCTGGTACTCTGAAGAGCTTAAGAAAGAAGTGGAGAGACTACAAAATGCCTTCAGGAAAAAGGATGAAGGAGAAGAGAGTTTTGTACATAAGGTACTTTTATTATTGGCTCATAGGATAAGTTATCTTTAATTAATGTATTTTATGCCTTTTTAATTTTTCAGTTAAAAATAAAGCATTGAGTAAATATGATGAGCTCCTTTCTAAGCAAATCACAAAGTTACTCCCTTAGGTAAGATCTGTTATGCTGTTGGATAGGATCGGTAACAGCTAACAGGGGGACATTTTGACACCTGCACAGCAGGGAATTTAAATATGGTCTCTGCAGGTTTATGTTGGTGTTAAGGAACACTAAAGAAAATTCACTGTCATGGAATGGCCTTCAGAAGGTCAATTTATAAAAATTCAAAGCCTTTGCAAGCCCTCCTTGGCATTACAAGTGGGTGCCAATGGAGTTGGGCTACTTGGCCATCTGCCTCGTTTGCCACCAGATGGCAGCACTGTACATACAGCCACTCTTCAAAGAGTCAGTTGGCCTATTGTACAGAGTAATTGACTTCAGCATGCAATCTTTTTGGTGTATGACCACAGTAGAATATCTCTTGAATGATTTGGTGTTTCACAGCATTGGGAATTTATTGACATTAAATAAAAAATATATTAACTATTTTGGTACAGTATTTCTTTTCTTTTAGTCTCAACTAGATGCTGCTGAAGAATCAAGAACTTTGTTAACATCAGAAGTTGTACTGTTACGAAAACAGCTTTCAGAATCTATAGAACTGAATAGCAGTCTGCGCTCTGAGAAAGACATGCTAGAGTCTCGTGCTTCAGAGTTTGCAGTGGAACGAGCTGAATTGCGTGCTACTTTAGACACCCTTCAAGCTGAAAAAGTAAGCATCTAGAATATTTACAAATTGCATGATTATTTTTATGTAATTAAGATTTTTTAAGTCCTAAGTCATTCTTTCACTCTGGTACTTAGAATAGCAAATATGCTCAGCAATGGGGCATGGTTTAGAGAGCTATATATCTGTTCCATGTACAGTATACTCTATTATACTTTGCTGTCAAGAATATTATGTTTTGGAGATTTTTTCTCGGTGCATCCCTTACCATGCATATAGCCTAATTAGGAATTGTTGCCTTCGTAACCTGAAACAGCTTTATGCACTCCTTTTGTTCAGTCTGTCACTTATTGTATATTACCTGTATTGGGCTGCAAAAGTTTTTGACCTGAGTTTCCTCACCTTTCCTTCACATCACTCATACTATCTTCAGTACCTATTTGAAGCTCAATACTTTATATTCACAATACATACAGTCAAAGCTCTCTGTGTCCTTAGTCTCTTAGCAATTCCCTCCTCACATATTCATTATTGGCTGTCTTTCATGTCCCCCTTATATCCATTATAATAGTCCTGTGTTTCTTTGGATTTATACTGGCAGAATTAAATTCGTGTGCAGCATATAATTTTTGTATCATTCATCTGGTAAATATGACATTGTAGTAAATAATCAGTTGAATTACTAATTTATGAAACAGGTTGGCCTTGAGTCAGAGCTGCATGACATAAGGTCAAATCGTGTCGGTCAAGACAATCTAGACCAAGCTGAGGCTCATCAGTTTCAACAAGAGATTGCCAAGTTACATGAGCAGTTGGTAGCTAAAGAAAAAGAGGTCAGTCAGAACTTTTCCTACATAATGTTTTGCAATCCCAGCCAACATCTGAAAAGATGTTTTGGTAAAGGTAAAGTCTGTCTTATCTTTTGTAAGAGTAGAATAGCTTCTCAGCCTAACTCTCGGTCACTAAACATGGGAATTAAAGGATTTGCCAGCTTGCCATATGGATTGTCTTGGAAATGTAACAAACATTTAGATAAGTTACTCTGAAGAGGAGTTTATGGGTTCTTTATCTTTGTTAATTAATTTATTTAAGTTTACACTCTCAAAAAACTAAATTTGAAAGTTTTGTTGATGACAGTCATGTACTTAGTCAAGCACATGATCGCATAAGAACACATATTTTCTCTAAACGTAGTTTAGTGTATTGATATTGCTGCACAACTGTAGTGGTAAGTATTTTCTTCATGAAGGCAGTATTTTCTTATGTTACTTTGGTTAAGTATTGAAATGCCTAATGTTGTTTGGGAATGATGAGGCATTATTTATAATTGAAAAGCCGGCTTTAACTTTAAGATAAACTGTTTTTCTAAATTTAGAAAATAATTGCACTTTTTCTGGAGGAGCTATCTGCCCCCCCCCCCTTCCCCTATAGCTTCCCTGAAACTATCTCGCTGAGCTTGCTCCTTGCTACCAGGTCACATCGGTGAAGGAAATTCTGTTTGGCCTTTTGGCGACCAGAACCAGAACTTGACCCAACTCACAAAAGCACCAGCAAGCCATCCAGGAAGTCAGTGAAGTAGTGCAGACAGTTGGAAGGTACACAGAAAATATGAAGCATCGAAACTGCAAAACAACTCTAAAAATTCAAAACAACAATCAAAACATTAGAAACTACTGTGTCTTGAACCCATTAGTACCAGTAACCTATATGAGGGGGCCAGGTTCCAGCTACAGTCTCTGGTAGGTCAAACAGAAGTACTGTGATTGATGTGACCTAGTATCTAGGAGCAATCTCGGTGAGATAGCGTCAGGAAGCTACCGGGGCTCGTCCAGAAAAAAGGAGTTTTATTACATAACGCTGGTTTTTATTTAATTTTGAAAGTTTGTAAGTTCCTTTCCTGTTTGGAGATTGGATTGCACTCTGTTCACTAACTTTCGAAAGAAGTGCTCTTATTTGCATGTTGTGTATCGCAGAGCAATGGTGCCCAAGTTTATCAAAAATTGCATTGAATCATTTTGTTAAATAAAATTAATGCCTACTGTATAGTACTGTATTCTCTAAAGGTATTTTTAAAATGTTAGTAAATAATGATGTTAGGGGGCCAGCCAGAGACTTAGGGTCTATACAGGACTGGTCATGAAAGTGTGTAGGTGTTTAATATACACAGCATACAAAATTCAGTCATTAATAATTCTTATTAAACATGTCTGATGGGTGGAAGGAAAGAAAATTGCAAACGTGAACGTAATTGGTTTTGGTGATGGTGTAGGAGTGAATACCAGCATATATTTTGAATCGGATTTAAGCTGAACTCCCTTAAGGGGTCAAGTACTGGTTACTTTCCTTGCATGGCCTCTGTAGACTGAAAAAAATCATAGGGTAAAATTACTGTAATTCTACAAAGCCTGTGTAAACCCTGTGAACACAAGAGGTTTGTGGATTTTATATCTGTGAATACGGTATAAACACTTACATGTGTTTAGTTTGCATGTGTCAACTCACATAGAGCACTGTACACCAAATGCTATGTAGTTGTGGGGTACCACTGTAATGTAGATTATTTGCTGTTGCAAGAATAAGTCATTTTATTAAATATTTATGCACTGTTTATTATACTGCTCCCCATTTTTCTCCAGGCTGATGCCTCCCTATCCCAGGAAAGATGAAATAAGGAAATAATAATGATGACGACGAAGTATGTTTCCACAAGTCCTCGTAGCTTGTGTAACTGCTTTGTAATGCACTTGCTATGTTATTTTCAAATTAGGGCACTCACCAAAGATATCAACTAGTTCATAGAAGGCACATTTACAGTAGTATATAAGTTTTTAAGAGAATGTCAGATTTGTTTCACTAAAATTTGATAAGGGACTATGTATGGGGGTTTAGAAAAATATTAGTAGAAATAAAAAAAAAATTGGTAACACTTTTGGACACCTTTGCTAAAGATAAAATGGCTGTGTAATTGTTTAGTGCATGATGGTAGACTATTGCATGTGGTTTTCAGAGGGACTCTGTCAGGAAATTGGAGGATAGATTTCGACTAGACCTTCAGTCTCTACGTGAAAAACTGATCGACAGAGATATTGAGGTAAAGTTTCTGTAAATTTTCATAGATAATATGGTTGAATATCAGTTGTATATACCATAGTGTAAATTGACTTTGTTTCTCTCAAACATTTTGTTTTATTATATGTGTACAATATGCAATATTTCAATGTAGAGTATATTGGAAATACCTAGTATGAGGTAATGCTCAGTGTAGATTAGCTCCATACTATACATATCTGTGCAGTTGTGTCGCTGGGCTCAGCTCCTTATGTCCAAATTATTAACTTGTGTTTGCTGTTATCAGTAACTTAAATATACTGTATCATGTGTTTTCTGTGCTCAGTTATTCTCTGTCAACGTACACTTCCCAAGTAATGGATCCGACACATTCCAGTCTAGTCGATATTTACAACTCGGAGCAACCTACATTTGTTTAAATGATCATGTTTAGTCATTATGTATTCTATGCAGTTCAGGTCATTCATAAGCTTAATTCATCTACACTCTATGCCCCTTTCTTGAACTATTTAGTGTTAAAGCAATCACTGAGAAGCACTCTGCCAGCTGCTGGTTGGCTAGTCTAGATGCTATCCCTGACAGCCACCAAATATAAGCACCTACATGTCAACAAGAGTGTGGCAAGAAGCTGCTTACCTCGCATTTATCATGGCTTTTCTCACTGACACTTTTGTGGGTAAAGTCCTTGTTCTCAAGCATTATGTTTTTGTATAGTGATCTCATGCTATTAGTGAACAATACTCTGTGTGGTTAAACACTTTTTTTTGTTGGCTGGTGTTACAGGAGTTATCTTCTTTGTGATGGTCTCGTTCAGGCCTCAGCTGAGGTCTTTCTCTCTTGAGTTTGTCCCAGTTCTTTTGCAGTTCCTTGTGACTTCATCACCAAACTGAGGCATTAGTTCTAGGCACTCGCAGTTGGGTGTGCTCAGTTGCCAACTTACCTATACATGATAACAGAATTTGTTTGGTTAATCCTGGTCTCACTTAATGGTGTTCTTTTGGCTTCCTGAAGCTAATGGACTGATATCCGCTATATTAGTTTAGAGAATCAGTTGCTTGCTTACCGGAAACCATGAGCCGGAACGTGGTTCCCTCAGAGAGGCGCAGGATAGGATTTCACCCTAACTGAAATGGTTTAACTACCTTTTTATAATGCATTTTCATAAGGCTTCTTCTGTAATGTGTATGCAATAGCATGCAACATGCACATGCTGAGTTTGACTTACAGTATTTATTTGATGCATGTCGCTGTCATTCAGGAACTTGTTATGGATGATTTATTTCAACACCTTGTTTGGTCCTGCTTATGTAGATGTAATTGGATGTTTTCTAATTAAAGAAATATTATGTTTTGTAATTAATTATTTCTGTTAAACAAATGCCTAAAGGATGATTTACATTGGGGTGTTTGATAGATCAGGAGTGTTTTATGAAGTATAAAGTTCATTATTTAGAGGTTAATAATGTTTGTAATTACCTTCAGGCCAGCAGTTTCCAGGCTAGGGAGGTGGCACTTCACAACGACCTAAAAGCCAAGTCAGAACTAGCAGCTGGACTGAAAGAAGAGATTAGAAATCTGAAGGATGAAGTAGACATAATGAAAAAGAAATTACAGGTAATTATAAACTTTTATTTACATAAATTTACCATTTTTTCATAAGAGAGCTCTTATTATTTGTTAAAATGATAGAAAGGTGTATTGAAATACACACTTTTCTATACTTCTTTTTGAGGTTAGCCCAACTGAGTCCCAATCTTGTTGAAACTTTTGTCACTCGCACTGAAAATGCACTATAAAAGATGCTGGACCAACTTCTAACTAAATTCTTTACGCAAGTAACTTGACCCATCCCCGATGCTGACCCAGCAGACATCCCATCGACATCTACAGGTGATGACATTCGCCAAACACGGCTACCATTGCTGGATACACATCGTTTGAACTGGTGATGGAAAAACTCCTAAATAACTCCTTGGCATGCCTTACCCAAGTCACTCCCCAGGCTGACTTGCCACAAACCCCAACCACCGGCACTAAGAGTAAGAAATCCCCAGCTGTACAAACTTCCTAACGACCTGCCACTTTGACTGAAAAATCACATAAACCACACTCTCCCACAACACATCCTTCAACCACTCCTAGATATTCAACATCGTATACTGCTGGCACATTAAAGTAGACCGATGTAATCACATTCCAGACGTAAAAATCCGAAATAGGACAACATAACAACCCTTCTGCAACTAACCTACCTCAACCAATTCTAACCTACCATATCCTACCCTACCATACATTACCATACCTTACCTTTACCTTACCTTACACTACCCTACCCAACCTTACCCAACCCAACCAACCCCAACCTAACTTAACCTACCCCGACCTAACCTAAGGCGCCTGACAGCTGGGTGGACAGCGCTTTGGATTCGTAGTCCTGAGGTTCCGGGTTCGATCCCCGGTGGAGGCGGAGACAAATGAGCAAAATGTTTCTTTTACGCTAATGCCCCTGTTACCTAGCAGTAAATAGGTACCTGGGAGTTAGACAGCTGCTACGGGCTACTTCCTGGGGGCTGTGTAACAAAAAGGAGGCCTGGTCAAGGACCGGGCCACGGGGACGCTAAGCCCCGAAATCATCTCGAGATAATCTACCCCAATCTAACCTAACCTAACCTACCCCAACCTAACGTTTTACACATTAACCCTATGTTACTTAATGTACTCTTAACTCGCCCTACCATAATCTACCCTAACTTATCTGAATTGCGATTAACTCCCAAACATACTTTGGGGGAAGGAGAAGAAGAGGAGGTTCCCTGAAGGAGGTTTAGCTCCCTGAAGCTAATGAACTGATATCTGCCATATTAGTTTTAGAGCATGTTACTGGAGTCCTTATACCTACCTGGAACCATGAGCCAGAACCTGGTTTCCCTCCGAGAGGCGAAGGTCCACAGGATTGTTCGGTCCAGGTCCAGCCAGCCTGCAGTCTATCCCCGTGCCCACAACGTTCGTAAGTTCGCGGCTTTGGCTGCTGTTTTTGGTAATATGTCCTGGGCTGACATTCAGGCATGGGGCTTTTGGAGGTCAAACAGGGTCCTGGCTGCACAGTACTATACCTCATTAACGTTCCTTGCCCTTCTCGGGCATGTGTAGCCTTGGGTCGCACGTTGCAGCCAGTTTGTCTTGACTTCGAGTTGAGTAGCGAGTGGTGGCCATCTCCTGGGTAAGTCCCTCTTTTCCTTTATCTTTGATTAAGTAGTTCTGGGAAGCTGAAGGGGGCTCTCCACAGAAAACCAGTGTTGAATGTAATAAAACGCCATTTTCTGGGTGAGACTCGGAGGCTCCCCAGCATTCCTCCCTCCCTCTAGTCGGCAGTTTTTCACAGTTTTGATATCCAGCCTCTGAACTGGGGTTGGGTAGCTGGTGTGGGAGGTCTGGGGCTCCCTCTTCCTCCTTCTGGGTAAGGGGGAGCTGTACAGACAGCGGCGTTTCAGCTGTGGTGACGTCATGCTTGTTTGCTTGTTTTCTGATTGGGGAGTTCTGCCTGCTCGTTCGATTTGCAATTTTTAACCAACTATAGTTTGTTTTGGGATTCCTACCATTCTGGGTGCCTGACCTGGTAGATGGCAGATATAGACTACTTCCAACTACAGTACATAGGGCTGTCCATGGGCTATTGCTCCTCGTGCCTCTCTAAGTGGGCCAGGCCCTGGCTTGTGGTCCCTGGTAGGCTTAGAACTCCATCGATTGACTGTTGCCACTGTCTAATATATACACATCAGCCCAGTATAGCTCCGGGGAGCCTCCGGGTCTCGCCCAGAAAAATGGCATTTCATTACATTCAACGCTGTTTTTTTTTACCTCTTATGTTCTCACATTCTTTCGTTTCCAGTGATTTAGATAAATTGTTAAAATATTCTTTCAGTACTATAAGAGCATTCATGTTCTGTTTATTACTTTTCTTTTTAGTAAGATTTTATTTTTTCAGTTGTCTCTGTAATGACAAACTTGGAATATGTTTTAAGTGAGTCATGTGTAAGAAAGACCATGTTTTGAGTTTGTTTATTTTCCCATAGCTTGCCCAAAAAGCTGTGCGTATTTAGTGGCTTTAGGCATAGTATGTACTAGCTCTGTCTAAAAATCCAATATTCTGTTTGTAACTCATCTTGTAAGTATGTACTTTTACCTGAATAAACATTTATTTACTATTTATTATTACAGTGGCACCTCGATTAATGAGTTTAATGCGTTCCAACACCGAGCTCGTCATGTGGAAAACTTGTCTTGCGAAATAACAACATAACTGTCGTCAGAGGTGTCCGAGAACCAGTGGGAACGCTCGTTAATCGAGTGAAAGCTCATTAGTTGACATATTTTCTGCGAGTGGCTTGCTCGTTACTCGAAATGCTTGTAACTGGAGCTGCTCATCACTCGAGGTTCCACCATATTATTATTATTATTATGATTATGATTATTATTTATTATTTATTATTTATTAATTATTATTATTATTACTTATCAACAGGGGAAGGATGAGGAGATGTCACACATGTTGAGTCTACTTGAAGACAAGGAAGTTGCCATGACAGGAAATGCTCAGCAGGCTGATGAACTCAAATCTAAATGTGCTAATTATATGGAGAATATTCAAGCCCTGGAAGCTCAGGTAATGTTTATATGTCTGGTAATTGTAATTTATAATTGAGGTTAATTAAACAGAAACAGCCAGTTTCTAAGCCTTTTCACTTTTGATGCTTTCTAAGACAAGATCACAGAAGGTTCCATTGGATAGGATCAGGACAGAGTGACATTTTGCACCGATGTAACATGAATACATGTACACACTAAATATAACATAAATTTGTATACATTTCCACAGCCTCTGAAACTTTACATCTTCAACAAATTTATTGGGTAGCCTGGATCAAACTTACTTTGAACATACAGCTCGTGTATCTAACAGGGATTTGATATTGACAAGATGTAAATTGCTTGTCATCACTTTATGACAGTAAATCCTCATCTACCTCATTGTTAAGTCGGGTAGGGGTATCTCTACTTTCCCTGCTGATTTGTTGTTCTTCTTCTTCTCTATAGACCTGGTACACCATTATACACATCATTCATGTGTATATTGTACAGTATTTTCATACAGTAAAGTTGATATTTCTGACAAAATTTGAATGATCAGTATTAAGGAAATGCCTGAAAAAAAGAGCCTATGTGCTGTTTGCTGAATGTGTAATTCCCTGTAGAAGTGTCTACTTGTTAGGTACGTACTTCCATCTGAGGGGGAATTACCCATTCAGCAAACAGCACATAATCTCTTCTTTTCATATCATGTGGAACCAGCTGGGCTGGGTATTTCATATCATATCATATCATGTAATTCGGCCTTGGGGGGGGGGGGGGGACCTCGATGAAAAGCCAAATGTGTTTGAAATATACTCTGCCTTCCTGTCTTCTGACACAATGAATTATTTATTGAATTATATACTCGATATAATAAAAATAAAGTTTAGTTGATTCTGAATTTGTAATTATTGTTTTTAATCTAGTATTATTGATCAAAGCCAAAGCTCTCATTTTGTAATCACAAAAGGCATAGTTGAATTTTTAAAATATACAGTACTGTATTTGTGATTAACAGTTGTTTCTAATTAAGGTTTCAGAGTTGAGTGCAAAGCACGCAGCTACACAGTCTGAACTAGATACTTTACGAGATCAGGTTCCATCACTACAGAACAAGTTGACTGAGGCAGACAAAGAGAAAAACAAATTAACTCGGGAACTCAGCGAAAAGGTAAGCTTGAGGCGTATAATTATCAGTTTGATTGCAGCAGTTTCTTATTTGATTCATTATTCTTGATGAATGGCTTTACTATTGTTGTGAATTAGATCAGTAGAAATAAATATCTGTGCCACATTTGCATGGATATAGGCAAATTATAAACTGCAGGGCAAGTTTCAGGTGTACTATATTTGATGACAAAATTATTGGACCTTAATTCTAAGCCTGTTCCTGAATCTGAGCCATCAATTGAAAATTCCATATAAAAATCATATTTACTTTTAAATTTATTCTTAATACAAGCTATTATGGCATTAAAATTACCTTTACTAAACATAATTCTTTAGAAGAATTACAAGGGGCAAAGTTGTTTTTCTATATAGTGTATATGCTTCCAGGGAGGCATGGTAAAGTTAACAACTGGAAGTAATGTGTGCTGTCTCAACCAAGCTTTACTGGTGACTAGCATATAAATGACCAACATTGCTAGGCAATGGAATTATCCTATCAATATGGGAAAATATGAAGCTCTAAATATAATGAAATGCCATTTTCTGGCAATCCTTCGGTAGCTTTTTGGAACTTATCCACTGACCTTGCCAGTCTTAAAAATTATACCAAACTAGGCATATTATAGCCAAGACCAGACTCTGGCTTGCTCACTCTTGTGAGATTAGGCAAGCTTAGGGGGTCACAGTTCTATTTAAAACTGAGAAAACTCCACCGGAAAAGTGGAGTTATAACCCTAACCTTGATAAACCTAGCCATCACCAGATGGCAGCCCAGATGACCCAGATCCCCGGCCAGCAGCTCACTTTACTCACAAGCCACCAGTACTGAATCCCAAACACCCTATGGAAGAGAAGAACAAGAAAACGGGAACATGAAACTACTGACAGTCCACCAGAAAAGGTGCTTTATTAAATTCAGTCCTTGATTTCTGGGAGGGCTGCCCCATTAGTAGCTCCCTGGAGCTTATTCCACATGTCTTTTAGGCTGAGGAAGACAGCTTTTCTGAAATGAAAAATAAGATTAGTTGACAGGAGATTGACCTGCAGCTGCAGGTCAAATGCACAAAGAGAAAGAGACTAACATCTGAATAGACTAGCAAAAAATTCCTGAGCACATTATTCATGGACAAAGAAGCCAAAATTGCTGGTGAAGTATAACCATTTTTCAGTAGTGTGAAGCTCACACCACTGAAAGGATGAAATGGAACTAACCACCAGAGAATTTGGCTGTGGATCCAGGGGTAAGAGAGAGCTAACAAAATGAAGCTGGCAACCAACAACTAACTGGATGAAACAGTGGCTGTGAAGGAATGCCAAAGTACATCAGGGATTAGAAAAAATGTGGAAAGAAACACCCTGAAATCCTGACACTGAAGGACAACTCGAAAGGACCCAATACACCGGACGTCGGTAGTGAGCCAGCCGCAAGGAGGAAACCAATTGTCCCGAGACTAGACAGGTGGCTCAGTTGCCACCTCTAAGTACAGGGAAAGTGGTGGCCAAAAAAGAAGCACACTACCTCAGGAGGACTAAAGCCCTGACTTGGATGGCAGGATCGCACTCCAACCAAGAAAGGCCAATAAAACGAATTATCAAGACCTCAGGAAGAATGCCAGAAAGCCCTTTCCACTAGAACTTGGCATGAGGAATGGGAATCCAGGATCAGGTTCTGGCTCGTGGTCCCTGGTAAACTAAGAATTCCATCAATTGATTATTTCCACGGTCTAATATACTGTACAGTATATACATCAGCCCGAAATAGCTCCGGGGAGCCTCCAGGTCTCACCCAAAAAATGGAATTTCATTACATTCATCGCTGTTTTTTTTTTTACATGTCCCCCTGTTTGCAGAGTGTCTTCATGTTAGAAATTGCATGACATACTTTATTGGGAGAATCCTATTGTGTATATGTTGGTGTCACTTTATGGTAGGCAGGTTAGGTTGCTGAGCAGGTTTCTTAGCTAGAGCACTCCAGTGTTCCCTAATACCAGTCTGACCCCTCAGGACCCATTTGAGAAGTTCTATGTGAGGCCAGTACCTGACTACATGTTACAGTTCTTATTGAGACACCAGAAACTTAATTTAGGAAGTAATTGAGTGGGAAGAGCATTCCCAAGAGAGCACTTGGGAATGCTCTATATTATTATTCATATAAACCCAAAGCCTTTGTTTTCAGGCTTATTGTATCTTAATAGAAATTTAACTTTCACAGTTAACTGATAATTCTTTCAAAAATATTTTGATTACGGCAAGTTATTGCAGAAAACAAACTCATTAGCTTTCCTTTCCAGGTGGGCGAACTAGAGAGCTTGAAGGAGAAAGTAAATGATGCATCTAAAGAGGAAAGTGAAGTCTTGAAGAAGAAGTCTGAGCAAGTGGAAGAACTTCGTAAAAGTCTTAGAGATGCAGAACATGCAAGAACTACTGCAGAAAATGCCCTTGTAGTAAAATCTGAAGTAATTGAACAGTTAAATAATAAAATGACATATGTTAGTAATGCTCTTAAGGACTCAAATACCAGAACTACAACACTGGAAGGTAATTTAAGAGAGAAAGAAAAAATTATTGAAGGATTACAAGACAAAGTCAAGGAAATTGATATTCTAAAGACTGATATAATCAAGGAGAAGGAAATGGCAAAAGCAAAAGACCAAGAAATTATTGAAGTTAAGAAGAAAATTTCTGAAACTGAAACAAAGAAAATAGAAGCAGAAAGAAGACTTCAAGACACTCAGGAAAATTTACTTAGTGTACAGTCAGCTTCCATAGTTCTTGAAAGTCAATTTGAATCTCTCAAAGAGAAAATAAAACAAATAACACAAGATACTGAAGAGTTGCAGAGCAAATATAAATTAGAATTAACTGAAAAAGAAAACTTGAAGAGCAAGCTTTCAGTGGCTCTCATGGAGGCTGAGAATATGAAAGATAAAATTCAGAAGCTGCAGTCACAAAATTCTACCTTAGACACCGAGTTAAAAGCAGTGCATGTAAAGAATTCAAGCATCGAGGCAGAGCTCAAGAAATTAGCAAACGATAAGAGCAAATTGCTAGAAAGCGTAGTATCTCTGGAAGGAAACAAAGCCCAGCTGGAAAGCACTGTGAAAGAGCAATCTGTAAAACACTCCGAAGAAGTGAAGGAATTGGGAGAAAAATGTGAGAGTTTAAAAAATGAAAACAAGGTATTATCTGAGCAAGTTGGCATTATTACGTCTGAAAAAGATTCCCTGGATAGAAATAAAGCTTTAATGACACATGAAATCAAGACCATCAAAGGAGATTTGGAGGTTTGTATTTCTCTCTATTTTCTGGAAATGCATCTTATAAATTGTATTAGTATTTTTCATCCTGTACTTACTGTTTCTGATGCTATTTAACTACCGTATGATTTATCTTGGTCTATATTTTGCAGAAGATATTTTCACATGGTGCATAGCTAAAGAAACTCATGTATAAAAATTAACGATTAAGTTAAGATGATGTTCATAGGTCTATAAATATATTGAATGCCAATTTGAATGAATATTTGTATTAGTACCTGCTACGGCCTCACTGAGCCAGTAACGGTTCTTATTTCAATCGCTTACTATGGAACTTTATGCCTCTTTCTTCTTCACTGCTCCCACATGAAATCATTAGTAAGTTATCAAGAATTGGCAGAAACAAGTAATCGTGCAAGGAGAAGCAGAAAGAATGGGAGTAAACAATACTAAATAACACCTTTACCGATATAATCTCTATCATATAACTACACATATGTACACAGAGTGTCACTTTCACACAGGACACTTAATATATCTGCAGTGTTCTTCAAATCCCGATGAGTCCACTATCTTCAAGTATACGTCATCCACGTCCAGTGGTCATCACCGGCGAGTTCACCTTACTCACCATGGGCCAGTCCCACACCGTATCGTCACGATGTCCAAATACACAATGTCTGCTCTCCAGAAACACACTGGCAGAGGTCTTCAGTAACATGCTGACAGGGGTCACAAATAAAACTTCCAGGGGTCTTTACAAACACCCTGGCAGAAGTCTAACTACAAGCTAGCAGAACTTCTCAGCAGATGGCCAGTTCTGTCGTCTTGTAACTCCTCTTGGCCAAATTCTGGGTATGTCAGTCCACACAATTCTGCACAGGTACAACGGCCAATACACTGTCTACTACCGATGGTGGCCACTTGTCCTTGCAGGAACAAGTCAGGAGTTCTGGACTGCCCAAAGTGAACTGTTTTCCAAAGTGCAATAGACACTCCTCGTCACCTCTGTGGTCACAACAGTCATTAGGAGTCATAATAATCATAATTGTCAATAGTCATTATTAGACCACCTCAAAGCACCAGTGGTCCCTAGTAGGCAAGAACTCCAGTTGAACAGACTAATGCCACGGTCTAATACATACATATCAGCCCGGTAAGCTCCGGGGAGCCTCTGGGACGCGCCCAGAAAATGGCGTTTCATTACATTCAACGCTGGTTTTTTCATGTTCACTTCTGACATTTCCTATAATGGACTGGAGTCTCCTCTCTCTGTCAGCAAGCTGTGTTCACCCTCTTCGTACATGTGCAGGACATGGGCCACTTATCTTTGTTGCATATGGTAATGGTGTTTCTTCAGATCTCTCTTCTTATGACCATGTGTGTTCTACTCGGTGTGAACTTTCATTCTAGTCGCATAGTGTTACTCTGCCCCTTAGTGATTCTGTCCTTTGCCATATGGTTTTGGGTTGTGACTGGCTATTCCTGGGATGTTCACTCAGATGTTTGCAGATTGTGTGCTTGGCATTGCTAAGGCTGTGTTGCCAGCTCTGCCCAAGCTCTGTACATCGCTCAGCTTGAGCAGTGTGCCAAACTCAGTCTGGACTGCCTGCCTCTGAGCAATGTGCTTGGCCCAGGTTGTGTACCTATTTCTTCATGGGGGCTATGTGTATGGCTGTTACTATGCCATGTTGTTGTTGTTGTTTGTTGTTTCAGATTTAGCTACTCAGAACGAAGTGACCATGTAGCATGGGCTATGGTGAGCCTGTAACATGTTGTTGGTTGTTCATTGGCAGTTTGCAAGCTATCAGGGCTGTATACCAGGCTCTGCATAAAAGGTGTGCCTGGCTCTGCCTCGAGTTCTGTCTGGGCTGTGTGTGTGTGTTCTACATGGACTTCATTTCTGGCTATTCCCAATTTCTCTGCCTGGCTCTTTTCGGACTGTGCTCCCATCAGGTTGTACTTCCTATTATTTTTGGGGCTGTGTCTGTATATGCCATGTTGTTTCTGGGCTATATGCCAACCTGTGTGCCAGGCAGTTTCTGTACTGTGTGCTGTATAATTCTGGGGTTTGTGCTCAGTTCTCAGGACTGTGGATTCTTCGCCTTGGTTTCCTGTGGTTTCAGATTGCTTTTAGTTTATCCCAGATCTGAGACTTGTTCTAGGCGTTCTGTCTCAGTGTTGATCTTTCGCTCCGCCTATGGTGTCCTTTGGCTTCTCCATATATATGTTGCACTTTTAGCATTTGGTTAACTGGGAGCTCCCTCTGCCCTGGGCTACTCATTCCTGCTGTCTTCTTCCATGGGAAGCCCAGCTTGTCTTTTCTTTTTTAATATTTGTTTTCCTTTCAGAAAATCTGGCTCCTCTGTTCAGGCACAATTTTGAGTTGGCTAGGGAGCTCTAAGTGGGGCCTTTCTTCGCATCAAGCATTGGTCATAATAGGTTGATGCGATATATTTAGAAAGTAAATATTAAAATAATGCATCTTTAATATTTGTCGCAAGTGTTGCCATTGTTTAGTGATTCCATTATTACACAGAGAGCAAGAACAGACTGCAGTAAACTTCAAGACCAGGTTCAGGAACTCCAAAAAGACAAGGTCACACTCGCTCAAGAGACAGCAACGTTAAAAGGCACTGTCAAGGATCTCGGTGATAAGGTAACCACATAACAATATTCATTTTTGTATCCAGTGCAACCTCAATTATCTTGACTAGTTAAAATCTCTGGGTGGCCGGATAACTAACAATGAAAGTAACTGAAGAAAAATTGCGTGGTGTCATTGGGACCAGGTCAGGGTGTCTGTAAGGAAGCTTCATGCATCCTACCAGGTCATGCTGTAAGTGAGGGAGTTTCAGGTGTCTTGCCAGGGAGCTTCAGGCATCTCGTCTGTCAGTCATCTCGCCAGATCAGGTGTCTTGTCAGGTCAGGCATCTCACCAGGTCAGGCATCTAATCAGGTTAGGTATCTCATCAAGTTAGGCATCTCATCAGGTTAGGCATCTCGTCAGGTGAGGCACCTCACCACACCAACACTACTTAAATTATATCGTTTCTAGGTTTACTGAATTGATTCTTGTACAGTATTAGCATTCTATTTTTCAAACATTCACTTTATTTAAAGGTTGGTTTATTTGTTGAAGAAAATAAGGAAAACAGAATTACTTAGCACACAACTCTTTGTGATCCTTGCCACACACTGCCGTACTTGATTTCCTATTGTCAGTCAGAGACAACAAGCCTGTTAACCTTATTGAGGTTCCCCTATCCATATGACTGATCATCCATAGGATGCAACCCACAAGAATTGTCTATCTCACAGGTACCTACTTATTGCTAGATGAAGAGAGGAATCAGGTGTAAGGAAATATGCCCAGTGATCTGTATGGGAATTGAACCTGGAACCTCTCAGTTGTGAACCGACTTCAACTGTCACCTATTGCAATAAGCATTTCGATTATGTTAATATAATGAAGGAACAATGGGTTGTGAAAGTACATACATTGGGGAATTGAGCGGTACATTCTTGCAAAGCCACTGACAAGCATAGTGTTTTGGGCAGTTATATACATGCAACAAATTACAGTACATGTTATTTTTTATTCTCATGTCAATAAACATTTTATTTCTAATATGCTTAACTTTTATTTAAGCTGAGACAACATGGATAGGATTTGCTGGCCTTGAAAATTAAGAAAACATTACCTTACAGATGATATTTGTGATCATCTCTGAACGTCATGACTAAAAACACTCCCTCGTTTATTTAGTATAATACAGATTTTCTCGTATTTGTATGATCCCTCGAGTCCAAGCTATTTAAGATCTTCTTGTACAACAGAGAATGGGTCAGCCTCTGTCATGGGTAGGTTGAGATTGTCATCAGGAGCCTGACATGTGTGACACATCTTGTTTGTGCCATTGACAGGTCTTGTTTGTGCCATTGATGTACCTTGTTTGTGCCATTGATGTACCTTGTTTGTTCCATTGATATGCCTTGGTTGTGCAATGACACAAGGTCAGGGAAGCTAGTGAGATGCCGCCCAGAGAGTGATGTTTCCTTACACATAACACTATTGTTTCGAAGTGACTGGCATAGCTGCTAGTTGTGTGAGTAATATAGAGAACATTGGGTTTTACTCTGACCAAGCAGACATAATAACTATGTCAAAAATTGCAAATATGTTATAATGGACCATTCATTGTCTATTGTCAGAGTCAAAAGTTTAAGAGGGCTTTGAAATCTAATACCTGTTATTGAATAGTTATAAAATGTATACTATATTTAGGTGGCCTATTGTACATGTAGTGTTATGAAGTAGAGTATATTATTGAGCGTTTATGGACGTTACCTTGTGTTAAACAGATTAATGAGGAAGCCTCCATGAGAGGTGCACTGTCGGGGCAACATGCTGCAGAGTTGGCAGCGGAGCGTCAAGAGCGCGACAAGGCTGAAACTAACATGTTGGCTCTTAAGGAATCTATAGCCAAGATCCAAGTAGAACGAAAGAGTGAGACTGAAGCACAAAAGTCTGAGGTTGGTACAAGTCTTTTATTGTTCTGTTTCAAGAATAAATATAAATTAAAACACTGATAATATTTATAACGAGTTTCTAATAAGATGTAAATCAGTGGTATTGGTTGTAACTTATGGAATCTTTATTAGAAAATGCCATTGCAAACATTAAATATTAACATAGGAAGAATTTATTTTGCTAGCGTAAGTTGCTCTAAGATGAGCCATATTGCCAGAAGTACACACAGTTCTATTTTGGTACATAATGTTATCAAGTGACAAATCAATACAGTACAGTACTTAAAAAGACTTGTGTACAGTATAATTGTGTAACAGAGGAAATATTTTGTTTGTTCATACAAAATTTGTGCACATCACCAAGTAATACTGTAAACAGCATACTGGTGTATGATACAGTAAAAGTTGAATTATTCGGTACGGTTGGGCCCGAGACCCCTCGCTGTACTGTAGTACTGTACTGTATATAGTTAACTCTTAACAGTTCTGCACTATTGTAAAGTTTTCATAACATTGTTCAGATGCTTTGCTTTATGTGCATGTGTTTACAAGCCTCACTTGTTATGTAGACTTTGGAAATTGTTCACTTCAAGCTGTATGTGCTTAGGGCAGCCATTTCCTAGGCCAGGGAAAAGCAACCTTAGACACGCATGCCAACTTTGGCACACAAATGACTTTTCTGTGGGGAGCCCCTTCGGCTTCCTGGGGCTATTGGACTAATATGTGATGTATTACGAAGGCATAGCTTCATAGATCCCGGCCCCTAGCTGCACACAGGTGCTGTGTACGGCTCCTGCATGTGCCAGCCTTGGTTGCTCTCTCAGTAATAAGGCTCTCACAGCCAGCACAGATGCTGACGATTTTTTTTTCCAAGATGGCATCCGTTTACAGGAGTCCTGAAACATAGGATGAGAGCCTTGTGTACCCACAGGAGTTTTGAATCACTCCCTATACTAGTACCTAAAAAAAAACACATGGTATTCTGGGCACCCTCCATCCAGGACTACAAGGTGCTCTGCACCGTGCAATGGTTAGAGACTGGGGAAGGGGATGGTATTTGTCCCCCCATCCCAGCGTGGCTTGGGGTTACAGCTCTCCCAGGGTCTAAGATTTGGCATAAGCACTGGGAAGTTGCTGAAGGGTCTACCAGAAATGGGCATCTTGTTACATTCAACATTGCATTGCTACTTCTGTTCTTGAAATGACCTAATAATTTATAATGTATTTTCCTTGTGTGTTTGAGGACATGCAGGTAACTTCATTTAATGTCTCTCATATATTATTCACTTGAACCTTGTTGGTAAAGAGTTCTTTGAGTTAATGTTTTTCTTTAATCTTTTTAGTTTTCAGATCTTGAATCTTTTATTTGTTTTCAGATAATGAAGTTAACTAAACAACTTGAAACTCAAAAAGAAAAAGTAGGAGAGTTGGAGGGTCGACTTGCCACCCTGGAAGCTGAAGCTGCTGGGCTGGCTGGAGATAAGCTGGAGCTAGAGGTTTGTGCACATTAATCCCGTACATTACAGTGACCCAGCATGTTGGGTCATCTTAGACGTGCACTTAAAGCATATCATGGTCAAATGGGTTAAGTAATTTAACCAGGGAATTGTCCGAGTCCACTAGGAGTCTTGTGGCTCCAAGTTGGTAGTCAATTCAAGTTTTTACAAATTACTCACATGTGCTCTGGTGTACGTAATGGAGTTCTCCACCAAATGCCTCCTTCAGATACGGCAGGAAATGGCAAGAGCGTGATATAACTTTGTGAAAATCATTGGAGCAGGACAGGGATTAAATCAGCGATCTAAGCCACCCCAGACGCATGTCTTAACCCATTCAACCATGATATAGTATATATGATTTAACCAGGGATCCGCCCAAATCCATTAGGAGTCTTGAGGCACTGGAGAGTTGTAGATGTTGAGGTTCATTGAATTGAGGTTCTACAGTACTGTACAGCTGTATACATATTCATTCTTTCTGAACATATTTAACACTTTCGCGCTCTCCGCAAAGGTCACTCAGCCAACCGAATGTGCGCGCTGCGTTTTTATCGCTTAAGCGTAAAAACAAAAATGTGTATACTCTTTTTACTCTTCTGACCTTAGTTCTCATGCTACGTATTTCATTTTGGTACCAACGTGTTCGCAATAAAATTCTCTAGAAGAACATCAGTACAAAAAGTCACGAAACGTATAGGGATACCAGCACCAAATAAATAACTACGAAGATGACTCGCCGTGAGCGCCCATCAGCAACAAAATGTTTTTACTCTTGGGATTGTAATCACCTCCACACTTATTCTACAGCGTTAATTTTGGTATCAATGGACTCGCAATGAAATTCCCAACACGGTGATATGAATATAAGCGTAGAATAATGATGCGGCCCGCCCGCAAGAGTGTGGGAAGTGGTGAAATTGTTACCCGGTATCGGTGACGGGACGACGCACGGCGCTTTGAAAGTTTATACTTATTTCACTCTCATGACATTAATTTTCTATGTACGTCATTCATTTTTGTGTCAATGTGTTCGCAATAGAATGTTCTATGTGCCCATAGGTAAAAAATATCAACAAAGCGTAAGTTAGAATAGCGCCAAATATAAAACAACGCTGGAACATATCAGTGAGCGTCAAACACACACGAAATGTTTTTACTTTTGTTATGTTTGTCAAGTTTATACTTGTTGCACACAGTTATTTTTGGTTGTATATTGATCGGAATAAAATTCCCTAAACAGACATATGCATATAATACATGATATGGGGGAAGCATTACCAGTATAAACGGCTAAAGTCACCCACCTGCAACCCGTTTGGGACAAAATACCATTTGATCGAAGTTATCCACACCTTTCATGAACTTATTGTACCATGCAGCCTAGTGGTGAGAAAGAGAGCCTCATAGCGCGCAGTTTGAAACAAACCCAAAGTAAATCGGATAAAAATTGAATTTTATACAAATATTTTAAAAGAGGACTCAACTTTATGTCCACTATGCGTTAGCGTTAGACGAAACGGGACGCGCCGGTGCGTCCAGATAGCGCGAAAGTGTTAAGATCTGCAAATTCATCGAGACACCAGCCCATGTTAGTCGATGCTAGTGTTCATCCATTGGTCTATATCATGCTCCAGCTGCATTTTGTATATATTGATCTAATTCTCAGCTGTGTGAATAAAAAGTAATTAGTTTCCCGAGAAAGCAAGGCAACAAACTAGGGGCCCTGTAGTGCATACTGCACTAGTTGTTGTAATCAGTTCATAACTGAAAGTCCCAGCTTTAATTCCCACTGCAGGACAGAGATGCTTGGGCAGGTTTTGTTTCATTCCTCTCATGCCTGTTAATTCTGAAAGCAGTGGTATGAACAAACCTTTGGAGGGTTACCAACACCATCATTGCTGAAGCTATCCCAGGCTATTTCAATAATGCATTTGACTATCCTCTTTTTACATTCTTAATTCTAATCCTTAAAAACATTGCATATTTAAGAGAAGGAACAGTTATCTAAAACTGTCAAGAATGGTGAATGAAAACAGGTGAATAGAACAGTTGTCTATTTTCTGGGTTTGGAAAGTACAGTACTGTCATTCTGTATCAGAAACAGGCCATTTTATTTTGAAATTTGTGAATGGTATACTGTATGAGGCTATTTCCTTAATATTTTTTTTGTGGGGAGCCTATGGCCACCTGGAGCTATCAGGCTGATATGTTTTATATTAGTCTGGGGCATCAGTCTATTGGAATTCAACCTACAGGCATACCTCAGAATACGATTTTAATCCGTTCCTGGAGACGCCTCGCCTTCCGAAAACTCGCATTCCGAAGTTAATTTCCCCATAAGAAATAAAGGGAAATGAATTAATCCGTTCCTGACTACCCCAAAAACCCCACATCAAACTAAATTTTTATACCTAATTCATCTAAATAAACCTACAAAAGTATGTTCCAGTTATTACTTACCTTACTGTCGAGTGCTGTAGGCGTATGGAAGATGGTGAGGAGGGGGGAGGAGGAGAGGAGTTAGTGTTTGGAAGGGGAGTCCCCTTCCATAATCACATCAGGCAGTGAAGACCTTTCTGGTGTGCTCTCCCTGGGACGTTTAACCTGAGTGCCACTAGGTCCTGGTTGAGGTTCACTGCTCGATTTCTTCACCAAATATTTGTCCATGAAAGCTTGCTTTTCCCTTCTTCGCAAGCTCTCTCTGTAGTAAGGCATCACAGTGTCATTGAAAAGATTAAGACAACGGCCTACTACAGTTTTGTCTGGGTGAGTGTGTTCAATAGTTGTTTGAATCTCTTCCCACATCTGACACACCTTCTTCATTACTGCAGAAGGGACATTCGCTGGTGCTGTTGCCACCACCTCCTCCTCCACTGCAGAATCATTCGCTGCTGTGTTGGCTTCCTGTTCCTGTTGAAGGGCTAGGAGTTCTTCGGTGGTCAGTTCTTCGTTGTGTTCTTCCACCAACTCCTCCACATCATCACCATCCAATTCCAAGCCCATTTTCTGGCCTAGACTAACAATTTCCTCAACAATAGGCGCATCATTTATAGGCTCAAACCCCTCAAAGTCTAGTTCTCTCACACCTTCAGGCCACAATTTTCTCCAGCCAGAGATCAGGGTTCTTTGAGTCACTTCTTGCCAGGCTTTGTCAACGAGTTTTAAAGCACTAAAAATGTTAAAATGCTCTCTCCAGAACTCTTTGAGGGTGAGGTTTGTGGCTTCAGTCACTTCAAAACATTTCCGGAAAAGTGCCCTTTCATACAGTTTCTTAAAATTCGCTATGATTTTCTGGTCCATAGGCTGAATTAGAGGAGTGGTGTTAGGAGGAAGGAATTTAACTGTGAGGAATTTATTGCATTGAGGCATCAAATCATCTTCCAAGCCTGGAGGATGAGCAGGAGCATTGTCAAGGAGAAGCACGGCTCTGAGTGGCAATTGTTTCTCCTGCAGATATTTTTCTATGGCAGGGCACAGCACTTCATTCACCCACTCCGAAAAAATAAGCCTAGTCACCCATGCTTTTTTATTAGACTTCCAGATCACAGACAAACGGGTTTTCTGCACATTATACTGTTTGAAAACCCTTGGATTTTCAGAATGATACACTAGCAAGGGTTTAATTTTTAAATCGCCACTCGCATTTGAACACAGCACAAGCGTAAACCTATCTTTCATAGGCTTGTGTCCAGGCAAGGATTTTTCCTCCTTGGTAATGTATGTCCTCTTAGGCATTCTTTTCCAAAACAGTCCTGTTTCGTCACAATTAAACACTTGTTGCGGTAGGTATCCCTCAGCCTCTGCAAACTCTTTAAATTCGTCAATAAATCGTCCAGCGGCTGGTTTGTCTGAGCTGGCTGCCTCCCCATGCCTTGTAACACTATGGATACCACTTCTCTTTCTAAATTTTTCAAACCAGCCCCTGCTTGCCTTAAACTCTTTCTTTTCTGCATCACTCGTTGCAGGGGTCTTCTTTAGAAGGTCTTCGTGCAACACCCTGGCTTTCTCAGAAATAATGGCCTCCGAAACACTATCACCCCTCAACTCCTTGTCGTGTATCCAAATTAATAACAACTTTTCCACTTCTTCAAGTATTTGTGGTCTTTGTGTCGTTAATGTTCTTACTCCTTTTGCCACATTAGCACTCATAATCTTATCTTTCTTCTTAAGTATAGTGCATATTGTTGATGTCGCTTTGTTGTACTGCCTACAAAGATCAACAACACGTGTACCGTTCTCATGCTTTCGAATGATCTCTTGTTTCTGCTCTATTGTCATCCTCACATGAGCTTTCTGGCCTTTATCCTTACCACTGGCTTTCTTGGGACTCATGGTGAGATATATAATAACAAATTGTATAGACAAATCACCAAAAATCCAACAAAACACTGAAAATTCACGACAAGAATTGATGTGGGGGTAGTCACTGCGCGCGAGACAATGGTGAACTGAGGGGCAGCGGGGCAGAGGGGCGACGATCGCCGAACGACCACGCGCTAGGTCGGCTGTACGCGTATCAACAAACTCGCGTTCAAACTCGACTCCCGAAGTAACCATCGCCTTCCGAGACAAATTTTTGGAGTAAATACACCTCGCCTTCCGAAAATCTCGCATACAGGGACAATCGCATTCCGAGGTACCACTGTACTTGGGTCTACGAGCCAGAACCTGGCCCTGTCGGAGAGAAAGCAATGGCCTATAGAAGCCCCCACGTGGTTGGGGGCATTCCATGTTTGCCATTGACTAGGGGTTTGCAGCCAGAAATTGTGACCGAAAACTGAAGAGGGAGACAGGGAGGCAGCACTCACCCTACCACTTAAGGAAACAAACAAATGTCATTCATCACTGCCACGCCACCTGTCCATGCAGCTCCCCCACTCCCGCACCCTTGGAAGAGGAGGGGTAGCCCTGGACCCCCCCCCCCATTCCGGCTACCCAAGCCATCCAGTTCGGAGGCTGAGCATCAAAAAATCAGCATTGAATGTAATGAAATGCCATTTTCTGGGCGAGAACCAGAGACGTCCGGGAGTTATACCGGGCTGATGTGTATATTAAACAGTGGCAACAGTCAACTCCAATTGACTGATGCCCCAGACTAATATAACACATATCAGCGTGATAGCTCCAGGAAGCCTCTGGGGCTCACCCAGAAAATGGCGTTTCATTACATTCAACTCTGGTTTTTTATTTATTTTTTATTTACCATTATATATACAAGAGTTTTTACATTCTTGTAAAGCCACTAGCATCATAGCATTTCTGGCAGGTCCTTAATCCTAATTTTCCTCAGAATACAGCACGCCAAATCGTTTAACAACCAGATACCCATTCACTGCTGGGTGAACAGAGGCTGCAGTTAAGGATTGGCGCCCGGTCAATCCTCCCAGGCCAAAGCGCTTGTTTTGGGCAAGTGTCTTACCACTGTGCCATGGGGACTGTTGCACAGGGGACTTAACCACTGTTGCCTGTGGACTGTCAACAATATGACATTAGTATTATTGCTTCTGACATTTACAATGTTTATATATTCTTTAGAAGATTTTTTTGGCATATTATTTGTCATTCATTAAATATAGAGTACAATACTTATGCATAATTATGTATTAAATGATAGCAAATTTAGGTAAAGAATTTTTGTATGAAAATTTCTTGCTTTCATTTTAAGACATTGTTGAGTGACCCTTTAATTTATGTGACAGGTACGTGTGGAAGCGGCCAGTGAAGAACAAAGAGGCCTGGTGGAACGATGTGTTGCAGCAGAATCTGAAGTAGAGCGCCTGCAGGGCCAACTTACACAACTCAGACGTAAATTGGATGATTCAACTGCTGCTCTTCATGAACTTGGGAGAGAAAATCAAAATTTGCAGGTATAATTTTCATATGGGCGACTTTACTTATTTGTCTTGTGAAGTCATTTTCTCATAAAATGACTTTTCTCTTAACTAAACTCGGTTGTTGACTTCTACTAATTTCTTCACCTTGTGTTGTTCTCTTAGGGAATACTGTATTGAACTGTAATGCTTACTGAAGTCTTTCTGAGCAAGGGCCCCCATCAATAGTGAGTTATTTTTCAAGATATTTTGATCACAATTCTTAAAATGCATAGATTTTGTTTCAGATGCTGGTATTAGTTATGTACAAGAAATAAATATAACTGATCTTACTGCTTATATCCAGATGGAAGCTACAAAATTAGCCGGTCGCAAGTGGGCAGATGACTCGGAAGTGCTCAATTGTCTAAGTTGCAACAAGATGTTCTCCATGACTATCAGACGCCATCACTGTCGTAACTGTGGACAGATATTTTGTAATGACTGTTCAAATAAGCAAGCACCACTAGAAGCTAACAAGAAGTCTGTCAGGGTTTGTGATGGCTGTTACAATGAGCTGACACAAAAGTTGTAGAAGTAAGTTTAGATAAGGGTTTAGTCTGATGTCAGAATAGTATTTGGTGGGGTCAGTGTAGAGACTGATATACAATTCTTAAGCTTAAGCTTTTTAACCATATTTTTATATTATTTTCAAAGACAAAACAATATTATATGGTAACTTGAAACAACTTGAAGCTTCTAAATCATGTTGAGTTGGCTTAAACTAACAACTTCAGTACAGGCAAGTGAGGGGGACTAACAGGCTCTTTAAGTGTAAGAATAATACAATTATTTTTAATAAATACATACCCTAGTACTTGCTTTATTCTTTAACGTTTCATGATCTTTGTAGATTTACTAGAAAAGTGACAACATAATGATGCCCATTTGTGAACAAATGAATTTCTTATTGTCTGTAGAGCCCCTAATTTGGCGAGGATCCTCACTTTTGATTAATATGTAATTTTTCCCTCTACATGTTCAGTACCTCAATAGGTGATTTTTACATGTTACTAATGTTGGCAGCTTATGTTCAGTACCTCAATACCAGAGTTAGTTAGCCAGAGCCTTTGACAAATCAGCTCTGGTCTACTGCAGGTCAAGAAGGTGGGTGCTATTATTATTAATTAATTAACTTTGCCATTATTTGAAGACTTGTACACACAATCTGTGTGCATTATAGGCAGTGTGTACGTGGTTGATTGTGCCTCATATCATCCAAGATTACTACACTTGATTTAGAGGGATCTATGAATGAACACCGGGAAGGGGGAGATATGGATAATCACAGGCATGCTACTGTATATTAAATATTTGCTTTTCCCATCGTTGTTACCTTTTTCTCTTGTTCTCACAAAATTCTCTAATTATTAACTTGTAATATTTCCTTGTGATAACAGCTACTGTACTGTACTTCCTAACATCAACTTGTATGTGTTTGGTATGTATGTATATTAGCAGGTTAATGAATTTTATTTGGAGGCTGAATAATAGTAAGTTACTTTGCATTTATTTTTTTTATTGTATAATCAGTACTCTCTCACTGTACTAAATTGAGCCCTCTTCACAATCAACATGTTTTATTTATCTGCTGTTCTTAAATTATTGCCTGATAGGTTTAGTATCTAATCTACTTATTAAGATAATAGGCACTTTAGCCTGCATGGATTATCGCTGTTCACGTCACATGGAATCATTGTTCACGTTAGGACTTTAAGTCAATTTTCTTTAGTTAAAGTCATTCTCTGAAGACACACAGTAATATATATAGTCAACAGTTGAGATGCCCAGGTTTTGCCCCAAGTCAGTAAATAAAGCAGAAAAAAGTGGGTTGTTTTGACCCATTCTTGGATGGTTTCCAGAAGAAAAAGATAATAGGAGGATGTGTTTGTAGTCAGTACTAGTGAGGTGATGCCACATGACCTCACATCACCACTAAGACAGTAATCACTCTTAAGTAAATCATAAATTAGACAAGAACTTGCTGGGAGAACAGATCCTTTGATATGATTGGACACCATTAATTACTATCTATAGATTCAATCATGTTATATTTTTTCTTGCTGAAGAGGATCCCAGTATGAAAATATCCAAATTATTTCACTGAATTTCTAGGTGTGTTTGCCAGCATCATTTTACAAGTGATATTACACTGCTTGATGAACTGATATCTCTTCAACATGTTAAACAAGTGACTTGAATTACCGGTGTTTTTATGATAATGGTGTTAAATCTTGGATTGTTGGCTTATGTTTTTCAGTAATTCTATCATTGTTTTTCTTTGTTTCTTGAATATTATTTTATTCTTCTAAGGTATATTAATACACTTATATTGTTCAGTATGATCCTGGAACTAAATCAATTACATAAATCTGAAATATTAAACATCCCCCTGATAATATCAAACTGTGATTAGGCATGTAGGCAGAGTTAGCAATCCCATTTAGGAACTTTTATATCATCTTTTAATACAGTACTGTACTTGTCATATATGGAAGAGTGGGGTAAATAGTATTTTGAAAGAATGAGCTTCATTTCTTTCCTATATGAACTACTTGGAGTAGAATTATCATTCTGTCTTCCCTTTTTCAAGTAACTTAGTTTTTATCACTCTGGATGACTGGCACCGAGCCATATCGTATTTGAGCCAGATATGAAGTATACACTTCCACCTTTTGCCTATATTTTAAACCTTTTCATGATTGTTGGATTTAAATCAAATCTTTCCACTCTACAGTGAGTTTCTAGTATATAATAAAAGTATTCTGAAAGAGTGAAGAAGCATGGGATATACAGGGGAAAGAAAAGGTACTAAATGGCTCGTATCATGACCTTACTTGAAAACTGGTGGTGATGATGTTGGGTTCCTCAAATTACAATTCAGTGCTGTATTCCTAGTCACTTGTTTATAAATCTTTATCTTACGCAGTACTGCATCATTTTGAAGGTTAAATTACTTCCATAAAATATATGCATATATTTATATTTTGTGAAACTGGGAGTGTGTCGGTGTTCACTGCCACATTTATACTTAGCCGACCAATAGCACAAAAATTGGTTTGAAGATGTTGTAGTTATATCATATTTATGGTAAATATAGTCCTGCCAAGTCGTGCATTTTCAGTTTGAACTGTGGCAGGAACATTATTATTATCCAAGTAACATATTATAGAACTGTACTTCCTAGAGCATGGTTCAACCATGCATTAGGAAGATGCATCAGACCTGTGAGACCTACCCTTGCCTACCAGAATTCAGGACCACAATCTGGCTCCTGAGGATCAGAGATCATCCCAAAACTAAGGAAAAACTGCCAGAAATCACAAGCACAACAAAATAAGTAACTGCTTGAAGAGAGTTAGGTAGCCAGAGGTAACGAGACACATGATTGTGCCGTGTGTAATACACACTAACCAAAATGTGCACGACCATCACCAGTTTATACTTGTATTATTCTGTACTTTGAAAGTCCAGGTCATCATCAGGTGACAGGCCATGACCTCCTATGCTACAGCCAGCCTGCTCTCTCAATCATTATAGTCATGGCATAGGAAGCACGGAACTTCTAACAGGGCCAGTTCTTTGCTTCAAGCTCTCAAGTGGTATTGGCTATTCCTTGGACCATTAGTTCTGCTAGAGGCCGTACTTTGTTATTATTTCCTAACTTCTTCATGATTGTGTTTTATGCCACCCATATTACATGTGCCCTAGCTTTGTATTTCACTCTGAGGGCCAGGGTTGCCTTCTTAGGTGGTAGTTTTCCTTGCATGAGGGGTTTGGGTTCCTCCTCGTCAATCTGATTCCTCTTGAATAACTGCACTTCTGTGTAGCACACTAGACTTGTTCTCTATTGTAAGGTATGTTGGTGGGGAGTGTAGAAGTTAGCTGGTGCTTCTGTCACGAATATGCCTTGCTCTGCTCTTTGTGCAGGGTGGGGCTTTGTGCTTTCACTGGGGGCATGCCTGCCTGTCTGCTTCATGTGCTAGTGGTATCTGCCTTTGTGGTGGTGGCGGCTTCTGGGCCTTGCTTTCTCTAGTGGCCCTGGTGTTTTTGGACTGTTTTCTCTTAGTGGCTTCAAAGTTTTTGAGCTTTGGATGGCCCAGATGGCTTTGGCTTACCTGTTCACCTGTTGATGACTTTGAGGATCAACATCCCAGTTGCCTGGTCTCTGACCAGATCTCCTGGCTGATGATCTGATCAACCTCTTCGCGTTAGCTTGGCCGAGGCATCTTCCGGTATATGCAGCACCCTTCCCCAACTACAAAGCCGTCGAGGTCGATACCTTTTGACTGGACTGGTCGAGGTGGGGTTACCTCTTCCCCTCAGCTCGATTATTGCTCTTGTTTCTGACTCGCTTGGAGACTTACCAGGGGAGAGTAGTCCTGTTAGCCCTTTGGTGGCCGGCTTAGCCTTGGTTTCAGGCGCTGCTTGCTCAGTGTCCGAACTCGAGAGTCTTCCCACGTCTCCGCCTCTTTCAGCAGATCGGTCTGGTCGGTATGTGACTGGTTCGATCTTCTCCGATCTTCGTATCTGGTCTTTTTGATGCGGGTTTATCACCACTTGTATAGTGATCAGGTGGCTTTGTTGGTGTCCCACATGCCAGTTTTGTCTCGGTGGCAGTATGAAGTTTCCTGGTGGTCCTTTCGGATCTTCGTGGGTTGTCTTTGATTTCTGTTAGGGTTGTTTTATCCTCCCCCCCTCTCCCTCCCTCCCTCTCTGTTTTAGGACAGTCAACTTATGCCGAATACTGTTGTCTTGTATCATGCGATGCTAGCGAAGCCGCTTCAGCTTGCGTTCAGGGTGGATGTCACTTCTGCTCCGTTCTGCAAGCTCTCTCGGGCGTTGTTTCACCTCTGGCCTGCTCATGCACTGCCAGAGCCATTCTGGTCGTTAGACTGGGTGCTCTCTCTTCTCTCTTCTCAGTTTGTGGTGGCCCCTTCGGTTCAGGACTGTTTTTCTAAGGCTCTTTTCTTGTTGGCATTAGCCTCTGGGGGTTGGGTCGGGGAGCTTCATGCTCTCCTTTGGTGCAGGGGTTTCTGCTCTTTTGGTCCTGGTGGTCGTTTTGTTCATTTGCAGCCATCTCCTCCTTTTCTGGCGAAGAATCAGACTGCTGACATCCAGAAGGGTCTTTGGGACCCGTCCTTGCGACACTTCCGGAAAGTCCCAAGGACCTTGATGCTTGATTGGTTCGGCTGGGGGTGCATCACGTTTTGTGTCCGGTTGTGGCTCTTCGACGTTACTTGTGTCCCATGGCCTCCGTGGCAAGGGACATGCTTTGGGTTACCTGGTTTCCCTTCTTCCCTGTTCCAGGGGTGGGACTCCCAGGTCATCGGCATGATTATTCAGTCCAGCCAGCCTGCAATCTATCCCCATACCCACGACGTTCGTAAGTTTGCGGCTTTGGCTGCTGTTTTCGGTATTACAGTACTGTATGTCCTGGACTGACATTCGGGCATGGGGCTTTTGTAGGTCGAACAGGGTCCTGTCGACACAATACCTTGCAGGCCCTTCTCAGGCTTGTGTTGTCTTTGGTCGCAGGTTGCAGCCAGTTGTCTGGACTTAGAGTTGAGAAGCGAGTCGCGGCCACCTCCCCAGGTAAGTCCCTCTTTTCCTTTATCTCTGGTTAGGTAGCTTCGTGGAGCCAAAGAGGTTCTCCACAGAAAACCAGAGTTGAGTGTAATGAAACGCCATTTTCTGGGTGAGACCCGGAGGCTCCAGTCCAGTGTGCTGTCGGCCGAGCGGACAGCACACTGGACTTGTGATCCTGTGGTCCTGGGTTCGATCCCAGGCGCCGGCGAGAAACCATGGGCAGAGTTTCTTTCACCCTATGCTCCTGTTACCTAGCAGTAAAATAGGTACCTGGGTGTTAGTCAGCTGTCACGGGCTGCTTCCTGAGGGTGGAGGCCTGGTCGAAAACCAGGCCACGGGGACACTAAAAGCCCCGAAATCATCTCAAGATAACCTCAAGATAACCTCCATGGCATTCCTCCCTCCCTCCCTCCGGTCAGCATTTTTTTCGCGTTTTTGATATTCAGCCTCTGAAATGGGGTTGGGTAGCCGGCGCGAGACTTCTGGGCCTTTCCCTTCCCCCTCCCGGGATTAGGGGAGCCGACATCGCCATGGTGACTGGTAACGTCATGCTTGTTTGTTTTCTTATTGGGGAGTTCTGCCTGCTCGTTTGGCTTTCGGTTTGCAATTTTTAACCAACTGTAGTTTGTTTTGAGATGTTTACTTTTTTCGGTGTTTGACCTGGTAGATGGCAGACATAGACTGCTTCCAACTACACAGGGGTGTCTATAGGCCATTGCTCCTCGTGTCTCTTTGAGGGGCCCAGGTTCTGGGTCGTGGTTCCTGGTAGGCCTAGAACTCCATTGATTGACTGTTGCCATGGTCTAATATATACACATCAGCCCGGTATAGCTCCGAGGAGCCTCTAGATCTCGCCCTGAAAATGGCATTTCATTACATTCAACGATGGATTTTTGCCACATTCAAAGTGTATCGGTAGTTTTGCAGCAAGTTACACATTTATAAACCTGATCCTTCAACAATTCTTCTGTTATTCTACTTGTTCCACAGACCTCTATATACCTTGATCTCTCTGATTTCTAGTATGTTTCTGACCTCTATAAGGCACCTGCAAATCATCACATTTGAACTACCATCCATTTATGGTGTTGTACCTTGAGAAATGTGTGATTTTTGTACAATATGAAAGCCTAACTTTAGTGCAGAACTCTCTTTAATATATATGAGAGTCTTAGACATAGGAAAAATAGATGATATTCAGCAGCTCAGAAAAATAATAAAAAAGGCAGGAATATTGGCAATGAAACAAATTACCAGTACTATGATGAATATTGTTTCAAATTAAGACACCACAAGCACCCAACACACCATATGTGAATTGTAACAAACATACATCACTGCTAGAGTCTTATTGTATCTATACCCAGGATTACAAGTAAAAGTTGAGAAATGAAACCCACAATAGAGAACCGAGAATGTGCTAACATTAGTACAACTCTCTGTCCTGCTATTCAAATATAGCTGTTGTCACAGTGTGTTAAACCGCTGTTGTCACGGTGTGTTAAA